ACCCACTACAAATTGTCAGTTCGAGTTACTGGAAATGCTCAGCACAAACTGCATTTCAGCACACTGGCAACAGCTGTTGCGAAGGCAGCGGAAGGCCTGGATGCATTTTCCAGCAAGGATGAGAGCTTTCACATCAGCTCACTGAAAGAGTTGTTCATTGATTTAAAATGGCCCAAAAGGTTCATTTATAATGAAGGAAAGAAAAAAACCTGGAGGCAAACCTTGCTATTCCACAGGAATACCGGAGCGTGCTTTACTTTTGTGTTTTCCTACAGCCTCATTGCATCTAAATTTGCTTTTTACTCTTCTCTCTCAGTCATGGAAATGGACATTTTGATTAAAGCTGTTATCCCAGCGAGGAGGCGGAATGTAGCTTCATTTAATATGAGGTTTTTAATGAATGTCTCAAAGCCAAAAAAAAAAAAAGAAGAAAAAATTTATTCTGCAAAGGATTTCTGAATCTGCCCCTTCACAGCTGCTGGCAACACAACTGCTGTAGCAGAAATTGCTGCTTATGGAGGACATTGATTATTGTGGCCAGATAGAGGACCCAGGACCACACTGGAAAGATGGTCTTGCATTCGACCATGGGATGGGGAGAAGCTGGTCCCCCCATCCCAGGGCAAGTCTGAGGCTGGGGGGCTGGAGACCTGTCCCCAGCTGCCTCGGACCGGTGCGAGAGTGGCAGCAGGGGTGGTTTCTCCTCTCCCACTGGTCCCTTCTCCCAGAGGTCCCTTAACATTCCCTCTGTCCCCTTTAGAGATGGTCAACCAGGGTGATCCCAGCTGAAGACACTCAGAAAAAGCGTATCCTGAGCCCTTCATTTCTTGACCTGCAGTGAGAAAGACAGACGGTGTTTTCGAGTTCTTACAATCGCCAAAAAAAAGCTGCAGACAGCAGTTGGCTTTTGGGGCTTGTTTTGGAAATTAAAACTCTAGGGTTTATATAAGTGCCTGAGTCTCATATTGGGATGTTTTAAGAAAGGACGCAGTGTCACACCAATGTTGTGACACTGAGAGAGTCAAAGATTTGCCTCTGTTAACGCTTAGCTTAAGGCAGCCACTCCCAGCGAGCAGGATCATCACTTACCCAGTTTTCCTGCCACACGGACCTCCTTTTTCCTCGGCTCTGGAGCTGAGTTAGGTGGAGGATGCCAAAAAGGAGGGAAGACCAAAGCCTTGTTTCCACATACGGGCTCAGTGGCTTGTGTCACTGTGGAGGTGAGCTCCTGGCACTTGCCGTAGGTGATGTCCTGCTCAGGGCTATATCAAACTGATGGATTCTTCCAACATCAGAGGCACGAGTCCCCTGGGTTTTAGTGTCCCATCTGCTTGCAGCAGCTGCAGCGGGCAGCAGGAGGGTCATGTGGGACCCTTCACGACTTAAAACACCACAGCTGGACACGTTGGTTGGCTACAGGCCTCTCCATGCTCATCCTGTCCTTTGTCAAAACCTGAATATTACAATATGGTCTCCTATTTTTTCCGAACACCTCCTCTCTTCCTCCTGTGAGCTGCCTGGTTCTGCACCCACCACAGATTTGGAAAGGCTGAGGCTGCAAGGCGGATCGAGGGCTGGCTGGACGGCAGGAGCAGGGAGAGCCAGACCAGCACGCGTCTTCATAGCAGGTGGCCCAGTGCAACAGGGAGGACAAATAATTAATCTTTGGGGATCTTCTCTTCCTTATTCCCTCATGGCAAAAGAATAAGCACGAAGCAAAGGACGCTGGCCAAGCATAAATTAGCTATCAGAATAAATAATTTATTTTGGTTATGGCTTACTGGGAGGGCTCACCACGCTGCTTTTAATATTTGTCTCTTCCTAGTTGCCACGGGGGTGCTGGGTTTTCTTTCAGACTGTAACCACGCTGAGTGGGGGGAAGACAGAAAGATGAAGTAGGAAGAGGAGCCAGGTCTTAGCAAGTGCCCTTAGCTCTGCTCTGAGCCTCCAGCCTGGAGCCTAACTTGGGAGAGTGGAATAGAATAAGCAAACAGCTGGCTCAGTAAGAGGCAATGATTAAGGAATTGGCAACTGAGATTTTGAGCTTTTTCTGTTACCTTTTCCATTTTTGCCTTTTCATCTTCTTTTGCAAATGGAAAGCAGATAAGAAGTCCAGGGAAGAATGAGCACCAAGGAGAGCCAGAATTCACCCAGGGCAAGGAAGAAAGTGTCCTCACCCCAGCTCTCCCTGAGGCATGCCTGGCAGGTTCTCTGCAGCCCCAGGAAGGACTGCAGGGCAGATGTACCCTATGGCCCAACATATAAAATGAAAACATCCAATGATTTACCATAGCCAACCTGAGTGAGCTTTGGAGAGACAACATGAGCATGAGAGCAAAAGCAAGAGCAAGGGAAACAAATATCTGATTCTGGGTGGGATGACCCCCTCCTCTTGCTTACCCCTTTCCTGATGGAGAATCATCTGCAGAAAAATCTGCTATGGCAGACTCAGTAAGTTTTAGTGCTTTGTTCCCACTTCATAGCCCCAAACCAACTTTTGGGATGAGGGACAATGGGTGAAATGCCAAAAAATCCCTTTGGTCAAGCTGTCGTGCCTGGCTGATGCCCTTAGGAAGCTGGTGTGCCAGGTCAGCAGGTATTCTAGCAGCGGGGTCAGCAGGCAGAAAGGAATGGTACATTTTCACCAAAGACTAGAGGGTGGTAGGGGTCTCATGAACTACTACTTTGGGTTTGAACCCACTTGGTGCTAATTCGTATTTTCCTCAAAATCAGTCGCTATTCACCATGGTGACACCATTTACCAAGGTTACAGGTAGACTAAATGGCGATGTGTATTTATTTACCAAGGCTTGGTTTCATTTTTCTGATCTGCCCCCCGGAGTTTGGGCTCAGTTCAGTCAGGAATAGCACTTCCAGCAACTTGATGCTTATTTAATTACTTAACACTAAATAACAGCAGTAGCAACCAGGGTGGTAAAATAATGTTTTATTCCATGAATGAACAAACACTACCATGCCACATCCTAAAGTTCTTTCTACAAAAGATTGTGGACAGAGCAGATTTTTACATTTCTCGGGTCAAGTTCATTTCAGGCTTTTGAGCCTGTTTGGTGTAGCAAAATCTGGACACGCAGCATTCTTATTGTCTATTTGGCATTTTGCCGGATAAAGCAGATTTATACCGTAGTTCTTGTTCACACAATGTCGATGCACTGTAAATTAAAGAAGATAATCAAACCCAAACTAGGTCATTTCTGTGGTTTACCAATATATTTTTCATGATGGTCAAAGTACAACCAACATTCAAAGCTTAAAATAATGATGATAAAAAAGACACACTAAGGAACACAATGGGAACATCATCGTTGCTGTCAGGATGTGAGTTTACCCACAGTACTATGTAAAAAGTAGAAACCGGCATTGACATTCAAGCTGTCAAAACAAGAAAAGAAATTACATTAATTGTTATATTTCCAAGCTAGTACTTCTAAAGAGTCCTGATCAGCAAAGAAGTGTTATTGCATGCATGCTGAACACAAGACTAATATTGGATCGGGGACCTGACGAATAACTGACTTACATTCCTTTATATACAACAAAATGAAATATACAGTATTAATACTGGCTGTACATTTGGTCAGAATATTTTACAAGGAGCAACACTAGTCAAAATTCTCATGGCGCAGTAAGTGGGAGTGAATGAATGTTGGATTTCTTTCTCAGAGTGGAAATTTTTCACAAGAAGTTTTAAAAGTTGCTTTGCACTGCTATAATGAAGTGTTAGATAACGTAAAGCAAAAACGCTCCCTATTTTTTTTTTTCTTTTATGCTAGTGCGAGCAGAATTAAACATGTTTGGAATGTGCTGATCATTGACCTGGAGTAAAACTAAGCCACAGACAGCATGTGCAATAAATCTCTGCACATTCGTTCTGTTTAAATGGCTTTATGAGATGATCTGTGAAATATCTGGTACAAATTCCTGCTCCCGTAGCCTCATCTAGCTGTTCCCCAACAGACTGCCAACCAATTGTTTCAACACTAAAAGAAGAAAAAAAAAATAATTGTGACTGTCGCGTATTTTTCTATAGTACAATAAAAATATCTAAACATTAAGCTGATTTAGCTTATTTATGTGCATATTTTTCAAGGCTGCCAAAGAAAATACTCAATCTTGCAGGTAAAGGCTATGCCAGGAACAAGAAAGTGAGGTTTCCTTTGCTTTAGTCTAATAGATTTTTAATGTCTGGGTACCTCGACCCTCATTGCCTCTTTAGACCCCTAAGGCCTAAAGTGAGTTGGTTCATTCAGCGACTGTTTTTTCCCCATCCAGAACAAGTTGAGAAGCTAATAAGGTAAGCGTGAGACCCAATGAAAACAGAAGTAAAAGCTAAACAAAATTAAGAAATAATCACAGGAAGGTAAAGATCAGTAAAACCATGGCAATATTTTGTACAATTGAATTTGTGTGCCCTACAGCAATGAGAAACCTCTGAACATGGGCAAGAGCAGGCAAGTATGCGCGAATCAGTATCCTTTAAAATAATTGTGCTATAATCTTTTCCATGTATTAGGTTAGATCTTTTTTTCTGACACAGTGTGATGCTAACTATGGTAACCTTAATATGGATGACGGATTTCACTAATACGGCTTCATTGCTTGAATGCAAAGAGACATTAAATCTTCCAGTCCTCAAAGTGGTTTCTTGGGGTGTTCCTTCAAGTTCAATGTCTTGCCACTTTCACGCTAAAAGTCACTTTGTGGCGAACAAGAAAAGAAAGAAAAAAAAGGGGGCGAAAAAAAGAAAGAAAGAGAAGATGTTGGTTGTGATGGATTGATTTCAGACAGCAGTTTCTGCTGAGTTCACCATGCTTAATGTTCTTCCGTTTAGGAAGGAGTTGCTGTCAAGTAAAGCAGATGAGCTGCTTTCAGTTTTCTTTAAATACATGCTAACAACGTAACAGCTCTTTCTTCAGGAAAATGACCCAGTTGCATATTGTTAGAGAGATCTGCCTTGTGCTTAGCATGGACAAGTAGGGTTAATCGTCGTCCTCCTCCTCTTTCAGTGGGGCTATTGGGAGTTTGTCCTGAACTTGGAAACATGCTACGAAGAAGTTGACGATGGAGTTGTACAAATGCTGCTCCAATGCTGCATTGCTAAAGTAATGGCTTTCATCGGGGTAAATCTGCAAAGAAAGAAGGAAATGCACACCATTAGGAGCTTAAAGTCTCAGGACTGACCACCTGTATCTGCAACTCGAGCTGGCCTGCAAACCCATTGCTCGTCCTTGGCACTGCACATCTTGCCATGGATACAGGTGAGGTCCACGGTAATTCAGGCACCACAGTGCTCTGAGTGCAGACTTGCATCTTCCTTCACAAGGACCTTTTTGGGGGGAGGATTTTTCATTTAATTTCAGTCTGAGCAAGGTCAGGCTAAGCAGAACCAGACCACACTTACAAAGAACAGTGCTTGCTCCTTGTGAAAACTGAAAAAACCCCAGTGCAAGTCTATGGGGAGAAAAGGCATTAGATTTTTATGACTAAAATGAGGGCGTTAAAGAAAAGATGTCATTAAGTAAAAGATTGAAATAAAACTTGCTGGAAAACTAATTAAATAAAAAAAATGTGGGAAGCTAGAAATGAAATAGTTTAAACACAACTATCAATTTTAACGAAACAGATAACTTCTGCATGTGTTGAAGGACTGCAAGAGGATTGTAAGGGGTTGTCTAGACCAGGATATTGAAGGGGAAAAATGAGTTTCCAGGGCTGGATCCTTGCAGGCAGGACTAAGGTGTCTCACAGTTGAGTACCTCAATCCAAGACGTAGATCCCTCAGCCCTCTATTCAGTCCTCAACTTATCTTTGAGGTGCCTCTAGCCCATTGGCAGCTTCAAGCTCTAAAGTACTAATGCTTCTGCCTTGGGATATATGCAGGGGCGTCTCAGTCACTGTAGTGCCGACCCAATCTGTGCTGGGCTCATTGCTTCACTCCCATGCCTGTGCTCCAGCCTATCTGCCTTTGGAGCATGATGGAGCATACCCATCACATGAAGCTCCGCAGAAATGCAGCCAGAGGGAGCTGGTATTCAGTAAATCAAGCGTTAGTAGGACTTGGGCACTGCAACGCAACCCTCTATACCGTGAGCTGTAGCATGGTCCCTGGCATGGTTCGTTCCTGGGCTAGTTGTACTCTCCCGGCCATGGCTTGAGATGTAGCAGAAGTCAGGGACCATCCCCGTGGCTGGTGGATGGGTTCATTTTGGAAGATTTAATGGCTTGGAGATGGGCCATGCAGCAAATCAGAGATGTAATTCGGCAGAAAGAGGGACTTTCTGGACCAGAGTATGTCATTCGCAGCAGGATGTCAGATTTAAGAGACATTTCTCTCCTTAATTTTTCTGGTTGATTTAATTTAGATGCCCATTTCCCTGTAATTCATCCTGAATTTAGCCTGTTGTTCCCAAAAAAGTAAACAGGCACCAAGGCCTTAGAGATATGTCTCTCAAAACCCAATTTTCTTTAATTTAATAACTGTTCAACAACTGTCCAAACCAAAATAGCGGTATCAAATAAGCACGGGGGTACATAGGAACACATTATACACTGGTGCTATTTCTACTGCCAGGCTGAGTTTGCAAGTAGCTTTTCAAAGCTTGCTTAGTAACAGCAGTTTGAGTTCAAACTGGGAAATAACTGTTCAAATATGAAAAAAGGGAACACATACTGTACCTGCAAGCTGTAATTAGCCTTTGCCCTAATTAGGTGTGTGATAAGGTCCGCAGTATGCTGAAAATGGATTTTTTCTGTAAAAACAGATTACAATCATTAAAGAGGCAAATTTAATTAAGAAAAATCAAAGCCATCCCAAACATATAATGAGCTCAAATCATAGGCTAACTTACCATCAGCAGTAGCATGAATGATCAAAAATGTCTGTTCCTTCAGTAATGAGACTCTGTGTGCTAATTTGGTGATCTGTGAAGGTAAAGGTTGCAGTAAGATTAAAAATCTTGCTATAAATTAGCAATTTATATGGAGAAAATAGAAGCACTTAATTCCATTTGATACTTCATCACAAGGATAACAAGCAGACACCAGCACAGCATATTCTCTTGGCTTCTTCAGTCAGTCTGGAGGTAAAAGAGACCCCCACCCTGTCCTTCCAGGCTCAGTATCCTCAGCAGCAGGAGGTCAGAGACCCTCGCCTGTTCTGATAACGTTCACCAAAAGCCTGAACTGCAGAACACATGGAAAATGTCAACGTGAATTTCCAGTGAATACAAAACACGGATGAAAAGCGTGCCCAGGTACCTATGCCTAAGAACTCTTCAGAGAGCTGGAGTGATTGTGGTATGGTTTGAAAGGCAACCTCAGTAAGCTTTGACAGCCTGGGGGAGGATCTGATACTAAATTCAAGTGTCCACTGCTGAGAATGCCTTTGCCCCCAGCTGCCTTTCAGATGCACAGGGGAAATACAAATCTGAGTGACGGCAAATGGTACTGGGTAAGAGAAATGAAGGACTTCTCCACTTTTTGCTGCATTGTTCAGAAGAATACAAGTCTCAAGGAGACTCCAAAATACTCCAAAAAAGTCTTGGAGTGGCAAAAGGAATGTATGTCTCAAATCACAGATGTTACGGCTGTATAGGGGGGCAGGGAAGAATAGCTGTCTCAGCTTAAATTCCTCTTTCCTTCATTGTTTAAATGCCCTAGCTCTCATTCACCTACATGACTGAATGTATTTTTCAGTTAAGCCACCCTTGTATCAATCCTATCTTTTACCTGTTTTCATCTTCCCACTGTCCTATATGTTTTCAACAGAAGATGGACAAGTGCATCTCCAACAAAAACAGGACCTTCCATGCTTGGCTATGGAGGTCAAATTAGCTGGCTAAAAACATTGGCCTGTATTATTAAGATATGGTCACTCATTTTGCATTACAGATTATGTGTATATCTCCTCATTTGAAAGATAAGGCAACCCTGAACATCAGAAGTGGCCCTGTATATTTTCTTGGTGCTAGAGGCAAGTTTTTGGAAATTTTGGTGGATGCAGGCCTGTTCTGGCTTTGCAGCTCCACACTCTGTGCGGACCTAGAAAGAGTTTGCAGATTTTGTGAAGGTGCCCTCTGATCTTCCCTCTACTGTTGGACTCAGTTAATGAGTTCTCTCATCCTCAGATTGCTGGCTGTGATGTTGAAGTCTTGTGATGCTGTATGCACATATCTTGCACTCTGTTCTCCCCCTGTATGTCTCCTTCCTCTCTGCTCCATCAGTTGTAACCTACCACATGACAATGCAGCTTTTTTGGAGACTACATCAAGTCTTGAATTATGTAACCTTCAAAAAATTCATACCTGGTCCATGGGTTAGGAACAGTTCTTCTCCCTAAGCAATTCGTGGTTCAGCTGTGGCATGCCGGAGATGTGTATCAGTTATCTGTACCCGGAACATTGCCATGCTCAGCAGAGAGCTCAGGTGCTGTTCCTAGCGGTTAATCCCAAGTCAACCAAAAGCACCACTATTCGCTTAGGCCAGCTTTTCAATGCACAAAGAGCGCCTGGCAACACAAAGCTCTAATTTCTAGAATATTTTCCCTTGCTTTCACCTCTGCTGACCTGCCTTCAAATTTCTAAAAGGACTAAAAGAGTTTGCAATGATCTAGAGATCATGAGTGCAAAATCTGAGAGATGATGAACTCCGTATTTAGATAGCCAGGAAAAGCTTCCACTGCAGGGGCACAGGGTGCTACCTGCCTTCTCTGGAAGAAAAGCTTCAAACCTTTGCTGTCTTCATGTCTTCTAGCCAAAGACAAGGCTTTAGTAGGCTTAACAACATTTTCTGTATAGCACATTTTGTTTGTGAAACTATTCTTTATTAGGTTTTCCCTCCAAGTAATTGAAGGAAAGAAGACATGAACCAACTGATCCCATCATACATACTGAACAATATCTTCATTATCTGGTGCCACGTCTCCTTTTCCACACCCTGCTCAACTCTGGCACCAAGTTCTGCCTACCTGAAATATCACATCTGTGCTTGCATTGAAAAAGCCAAGAGAAGCTGAGCTTCACTTGACTTTGGGTCAAAAATTATACCACAGGGAGAATCAAAGTGGCAAGACCATTGGGATGAACTTTAAAGGAGGTTGTGACATTGTGTCCACTTGGGCACATCTGAGTCACCCAGACCCAGCTCTTTCAATCTGTAGAAGTGGAATAACTGTATTCACCTGGTTTAAGAGGCAGACATGGCAGCTAATCAATAAAAACTGTAACCATCATTACTATTAAGACAACAAAAGCAGTAAGCAGGCTGAAGGACACCTTGCTGTCTTTGAGATACAGACTTTTACTAGTAAGCCCATATTGCATATTTTTTTTCCTTCCCCAAAAGAGAACACACTGAGGAAGAGTTAAAGCCCGGTTCACATTTTATCAGGGAAATGCAGTGTCCATGCAGTTACCTCGTATGCTCTGTTATCAATTCCATGCAAGCCCAAGTATCTTTCAGAAAAGGCTGAAGCTTGAAAAGAAAAAAAAAGACATCTCTTTCAGTCATAAGTGAGTACACTGGTGCTTCTCAGTCAAATATTGCAAATGCTAAAAAAGATCTTCTTTTCTAACATTCCCTTAGTTACACAGGACATACTTCTAAAAGCTTTTGAAAATGCACTAAGAATATGTATGATACTACAGTCTTTCTTTATCACCATGTACTTATGGTTTCTAAATAAGTCACAGAAGAGCCTTTTTTTGTTTTCCTTAATGCAACCAAGATATGAGAGGAGAAGAACTCTATTGTTGTGTCCTCTTCTCCTTCCACATGGGGCTGTCTCCACCAACAGACTACTGCAAGCTCCTGTTGGTCTCAGGGATAACTCTATGGGACCTGAAGGCTGGCTTAACACCACTGACTTTCATGGCAGCCCCCTGATTTTCTCTTGCGCTAAGTGCAAAGGGAACTGGTGTCCCTGAGAGAAAGGACCACCACGTGCAGCGCGGTATTTCTGCCAGAGAGAGGATGAGGCGGGCAGGCTGGGCCACAGCTCCCACGGATGGATGGCTCAGGAAAGAAAGCAGCACGTTCAAGGCAGCAGTGCAGGTTGGTGTCAGGGTCTGGAGGGGTTAAGAACCAATTTAAAAGAAGTGAGTAATAAAAGTTATCTGATTACTCTGACCACCATGGCTGGTCCCACTGGTGCCAGCAAAATTGCTCTTGAGGGGGGATAAAAGCATTTGTAGCTAGTCCTAAGAAGACACACAATACAAAACAGGCAGGATCTTGGGGAAGAAGGAGAAGGTAAGTGGTAAAGGTTAGGGCAGAAACACCATTTGTGGTCAGCAAGAGGGTCTGAGGGCTCTGGGATGGGGTTTACCATATAGTTTGAAGTCTGTCAGTGGGGAAAGAGCAGCTCCACAGGCAAACACCTGGTTCTCTTCACCGGCTGGAAGCATGTAAGTGCTCAGGTAGCCACCGTAATCCTGGAACACAAAAAGGGCAGGGGCGTCAGCGGTCCTGCCATGAGGCGCTGCTGCTTTTGGGTACAGAATCAGGGCAGCTGAGACCTTGCAGCAAACTCTCAGCCACTCTAGAGCCCTCGATACCTCGCTCTGAAAAAACATGAAACAAGGGACATCTCCCTGCCTTCAGCAGATGTGGCTGAAGACGAGCTCTACACTCATTGCATTCTCTGGAAGGCAGGAGGGTTGCGTGCCCAAGAGCTTACCTCTTTTCATCCCACTTTATGGCTGTAGATCTAATCAAATATGTTACCTTTCCAAAATATTACCCCAGTCTTTCGCTCTTTAAAATGGACATTGCGATTTCAGCGTCTGCCATCATCCTGTCGACAATTCCCTGCAGAGATGCTGCTGTAGGCGCAGCTCTCTTTGCCCAGTCTAAGCCTGTATCTCCCACACTAAACAATTTTGACTCACAGCCCCGTTCTCATTTCAAACTGTGTGTACTTTGCAATTGCTGCTTCCCAGCCGGGCACACTCCACAGTGCGAATCAGCCTCAGAAATCAATATTGCTGTTGTACATTTGTACGACATGAGCTAGATCTACCCACATTCCCATAGGCCTTAAGGGACAAGATGAAAATGAAATGGTAGTTTGCAAGGGGAAAAAATAATTAATTAGCTGACAGCATTTTTCTGACAAATAGCCACTTTCAGCACTTGGAAGTTAATTTAAAAAAAAAATATTGATGAATACATTGATAAAATGAAAGCTTTAATCTTTAACATCTCTGAGAAAGAAGCAGTCTATCTCAAAAATAAATAATAATAAAAAAGTTGCCACTGACATTGAATAAATCAGGATTTAGCTCAGCTGCTTAGCCATGTCAGCCAACTAGAACAGCACAGAGGAACAACGGGAACACGTTACCTTCCCAAACACGCCGACTCGCATTTTATCAATGTAATGCTCCTTCAGCATTGTCCTAGAGCATGAGAGAGGAGAAAGAAAGGGTTAAAAATTTTTTTCCCTTAGATACAGTAAGCATAGTGTGATTTTTATCAGCTTGAATCTGGGGTGGCCACAGAAAAATGATGTAACAATCTAAATTCACACTGCTACATGCTGCTTTCTTGTGAGTGTCCGTTTGATTTAGTTTTGCAACCTGTTGTGTTGGATTTGACCAAGCAAGGGCAACAAATAACCTGCACTCCCTCTGAAAGTCATAGGAAAGCTGATGCTATTGCACTACTCTGATAGTGGTTTTAGCGTGATTATGTGCAGAATAAATCCAACAATATGACAGGATTTGACATTTAGGATTTTCCACTGTTCTGTTCTAAAAAGTTGAAGGGTTTAAAGATAGATTTTTTCCAACTACCAGGCCAGCAAAAAAATAATGTAGGAGCCGATATTCAAGCTTACTTGTTTGTAGCTGTATGACTGTACAGAGCTAAAAATAAATAGGCTTTGAACACGTAATACAGATAAGCGTGCTCTAATTTAGCTCTGTTTAAGGCTTGGTTTTCTCCTCTGCACTGGCTGGCAGGAGCTCTCTCCCACATGCCATCACTTGGTCACAGCTGTATGACTACACCGTCCTTCCCTCCCATCTCCTTGCTCTACCCTACACACCATGAAAGCAACCAGGCCTAATGACAGTCCTGGGTTAATTATCATTAATGGATTAATTTCTTCAATAACAGTGTCATTCACCGGACAGCTTCCAATTGATCCTTCTCTTCCAAAAGGCCTAGCCTCCTCTTAACCTCGTGCAAGAGCTTAGTGCCTTGGAAGCCGCTCCCGCGGCCATCAAACTTCAGCACGATGGCGTTGTGCGAGCTGACCATGACGCTTTCCCACGTCACCTCAAATCTCTCTGTTACAATCTGGCTGCCAGGCGTCCCATCTCTGAAACAGAAATAGGCATCAAGCAAAGGCAACAGCACGAAGCATGGGTCAAACACCCTCCCCAGGGCCGTGAGCTTGCCGTGGCAAGGGGGACTGGCAGCTCCTGCATGCAGTGTAAGGCAGGGCAGATTTCAAAAAGGGGAGACCAGTCTCTGCAACGATGATGTACAGAAGGCTGGTTGTGTGGGATGGGTTTTGAGGCTGGGGTGGAAGCTGCAGGTTGGTTTCTGCCTCCCTTTTTGCACAGAAGCTATTGCTGTGCTAAGCTGAGCTTTGAACAAACCTAGCAAGCACATCACTAACGGGGCAGGATTCCTGTGAGAAAACCCGGGCATCGATGCAGAGGTCAGCTGAGTTTTCCCTTTTTCCACCTGCTCTAATGGATGTCTGTTTTCTACGTTCCCAAGATGGTATTTTTCTGGTGGAGGGGTTTCTGTGAGGAGCCTGGCTTTGGGGTGTGCTGACACTGCCAAAATATGTTGGACGAGCTTGCAGACATCAATTGTCCTTTCCTTTACTGGCAAGCATTGGGGCTTCATTTGCCCAGACCTTCCCTCTCCCACGGGGTTTCCGAGAGTGGCTGTAGATGGATGCCACCATCGCTTCACACAAGCACAGAGGGAAAGGACACTTAAAGCAATAAAACTAACAGCTTAAAAATGCCCAGAACTGGTGGGGAAGGGGAAAGGGTGGGCAAGACTCCCTCTTCATCGTTCTGCTTAGAACTCAAACCTGTACGGGGGAACTATCTCAAGAAATATTAACCCCACTTCAGCCAGACAGCTTGGAAAAATCAAGAGATTATGATGATGATTATAAGTAATATTTTAGGATTGGGATTACTGTAGAGCCACTGGCACTTCCATCTACTTCTTGTCCTTTTTGGGGTTCTCGGAGACATCAGGCAACTCACTGCAGGATTTTAATGTGGATGTGACTTCAGTCATTTGCATTTATTCAAGCGAGACCCAGGCACATCCAGCTTCAGAGGCAGCCTAATCAAGTGCTGTTAGCTTGATGAGTACCAATCTTCCTCAAGCACTTGTATAATGAAGTACATTATCTCTGCAGTAATTTTGTGATGTAACGACACGCTTATTGCAGTGTTTTTGTCCTTCATGGAGGGATGTGCAGGATGGTGTTCAGGCATTCATCGGGCATTCGTCACTCCTGCATGAGGCATCTCTCTCGTGGGGTGTTCCCTGGCAGGGAGCAAGCAATGCAGTGGGATGCAGCTAGGGCCAAGCAGGTTCTTCCAAGGTCACTGACTTCCCTCCCACAGTTTCTTTCCAAATTGCCAGAAAAAAACTTAGCGATACATATTATTATTACCAAACATTGCATAAAGAAGTACCCATCTGCTAAGCCTGCCAGGAGGAAACCCTACTTACCTAATAGAAATGCTAACGTTGCAGACCTCTTCAAAAGTTTCTAGCTCTCCCTTCACTGGCACTTTGGGGAACAGTGGCATTTACACGGGGGGGGACTGCTGCATAAGGATGTCTGAAATTTAAGCTGTAGTAAGACTGACTGCATCCCACCCTAAAACTACCTGTTCAGCGCGGGGTGCATGCTCTAAGCACCGGAACAGAAAGTCAACGTCCTCTAAGCACCGGGACAGAAAGTCAACGTCCACCTTTTATTCCTCCCCCTCCTGTTTCTGCCCCCAAAATTATTGAATTGCAAGTGTACGTGGAACAACTTTGGAAAATCCTACAATTTCCTCTGCGGGATTTCACTAGGGCACCCTCCTGGGAGCTGAAATCCTTGGCTCAAACACGGGAGAGAAGGCACCTATGTCTACCCTCTCCCAGCTCTGAGGTGAGACAGGGGTAGGGACCAATGTGCTGGACTTAGGTGCTAAAGTGGTCTGGTATTCATTGTAAAAACCTTATCTTAAAAGGCTCTGGTCATGGCTGAGGCTCCCATGCTGCCCTAATAACGTGAATAGAAAGAAAGGACAAGGGAGAACTTACACAACCAGAAGCAAGGGGTAGTGTGCAGTGTCCGAAAAGGTTGCTGGCTTCAAGATCTGCATTGGCAATTCTAGGCAAAAAAACCCAAATAACAACATGTCTTTAGTGCGGGAATGCTGACATAACTCTAACAGATTTTTCTGCTGTTTGGGCCACTTATAAGCAGGGACAAAATGGCATTTCATCAGAGGTACTGGTAAATAACACCTTAGAAACACAGATGTTGTCAAAGAAAAGACCCATATTATGATAGCTGAGGTGACAAGAAACGTAAATCAGGAGTACAGCGCGAGCTGTTCAGTCATGCATCACTTTTACAGCATTCAATTAACATCTGGCAATAGCTATAATTTTCCTTTGTGGCAGCTGGATGAGTGACGCAGCCAGAAATCAATATTTCAGGGCAGCCAAGGAGGGGGAAAATCAGCGATGAAAATGATAATTTAAAACCCTATTAAGTATGGTGGCTGGGAGAGAGAATAGGATTATTTTGCTATGATGGTGTGAAAGCAGATACAGAAACATGTATTTTAATCCTAACTTCCAGAGGGCTTAATTTTGCCATAAACCAGGAGGTAAGCGTGCTGAAGCCCACGTCGTTCTGCTGGTACTGAACCAACGTAAGCGAGGGACGTGCTCGCCGAAGCTTCATTTAACTGCACCCTATGGCTTCGTGTCGATAGCCAAACCCACTGCCATACGAATGCTTTCCGCATTAACGAGAGCACATTTATTTTTTAAAATGTTAACTACAATCCAGATTAGCAAGGGCCCAGCAATTAAATCAGTATTAGGAGCATTTTCAGTAGATTAATACACAGATTAACCGCGTGGTTTAAGTGGTTGGCTTTGCAATCATTGTCTGATGCTCCGCCTAATTACTTATTCCATCTGAATGCTAATAGTTGCAAATTCAATCAATGGCCCAGGGACAGCCGAAAAGGCCATCGCTTGACTTTAAGTATAACTAAGCACTATGTGCAGTGTTCCCAAGGCTGCTAAGCTCAAAGCTTCAAAAATACAGGGAGGGCACAGAGGAACAGCTACATGGCTGTGGCCAGCTTGTGTTTATTACACACACACATATATATTTTTGGTTAAATGACCAGAATTGCATTTCAGTGATACCTGCAGGTAAGAAATTTAGCATCAAGCTGAGTTATTCCTAATAAGCTGCCAGTGCCACAATGAATTGGCTCACAGTGGGGATAGATGTGATCTTTATGACAGGCTCTTTCTCATCTTTTCCTGTCCATAAGGCCTGGAAGTGCACGTCTGTTCTTGTTATTTCATTCACTGGTTTATGTTCCGAATGCCCATGTAGCAAGCGGAAAATTTTAGGGCCATTATGATCCTGCTCAAATGGCAACTCTCAGCCTTTGCTTCGCATTTTATAACACCTGGCAATGCTCGAAATTAGTAACCTGCCACCCATCACTGCATCCGATCTGAGGGGTACACTCCTTTTTGGCATGGGAAATATTATGGGTCATACCTTGAGCCCAGAGTCTTTGGGATTTTTTGAGAGTTGCCACCATAGACATTACCTGGGATTTTTGGGAACCGTTGCACAACTCTGAGTATGTGGATTTTCCACGTATAGGTAAGATATCTGCTTACAGCCAGGGGAACTGCTTTTTAGGTTGTTTCAGGTACAACTACAGAGACAGGCAGAAAAAGCTTACGCTTTGGCTGTCTGCCGTTAGGCTTTTCTCTCTCTCTGTCCTGTTTGGCACATGGATACGCAGGGAATGATTACACAAGTGGTACGCAGGACACACCAGCTGCAGGTACAGGCTGCTCCAGGTTTCTGCCTTCTTTACTCCAGGTGAAATCTCTTTCAGTTTTTCTCATAAAACTGTTTTTTTTTTTTTTTTCCCCCAACCCTATCAAATGATACGGCTTTCTGAAAGAATCCTGGATGACTCTGGTGGGCAGTCGTTGGCAAGTCCTCATTCACCGCAGTTGGGTGCTGTGTGCTGAAAGAGGGCCGCAGCTACAGCCAGCAAGCACGTAAGGTGTCCCCCTTCAAACCCATCTCAAATAATACACCAGCCCAGCTAGGGCAAATGCCCTGAACAATGAGGGCACCACACCATGTCGTTTCCTGGAGTGTTTTTTTCTCTACAAAGAAAATGGTAAAAGGAAAAAAAAACAACCCCAAAACCCTCAATGCTATCGTTTTGCCTTTCTTCAGCTGCATTCTCATAAAATCCTGCCTCTGTAATAACCTCCTGATGTAGCACATCCTAGGAGAGTGCTTTGCAAACGGCGCGAGTTTATTGAGAGCCAAAGCCATTTTTCTTCCTGCCAGCCTCGCCAAGATGACTGTATCATTTCAAAGCAATAGTAGTGAAAAAGAAAAATAAGAGAGAGGAAAGGTGCTACTTACTGTAATCATCTATCTTGATTTCCATGTATTCTACCTTAGGCATTTGCCTGTCATTTACAGCCAGCTGCACATTTTCATTTACCTCCAGCTCAAAAATTTCTGAAAGAAGAAGGAGAAGACCACAAAACCTTTTGGCATTGTTTGTGAAAAAGCATTTTAACATTTTACAGACACCTTAATATTTATAACATGAGTTTTCTTATGAAATAATTTCCTTCTAGTCCTCACAGACGTCTAACTCAGTCAAGTCTTTGAAACCTCTTCCAGGTTCTGTGTTGGCAAAAAGCTGTACTCCCGAAATCAGTGACATTCAGCTGATTTAGAGCAAATGGGAATGTGACCTTCTGGGCTGAGGCAGTACGGCGGGTCCCAGTCAGGCAGCTCCCTGCCATGCAGGGCTAGTTATCAAGCAAAGACTGTCTGTGTTCACGTTACACATAATAAATGGGGAAAGGGAGGAGACTTTGGAGGGCTCCAGGGCAAGCTTGTGCTGCTACACAAGAGAAAACCCATGGGAAGGAAAGCCATGGGGATAGCAGAGTAGACAAAGATCATACAACCCTGCAACACCAGGCTTTTGAGCAGTCTTGGCTTTCAGAGTGTCTCAAGAATTGTTCATTTTGCTAGTGTGTCTTATCCAAGGAATCTCTGGGATTGAAATAGAGGACTCCTTCCTCCTTCCCAGGATTTAACCTTTATACCCCAGATCCTGGCCACGTGCTCTAACCGCTGAGCCTCTTCTAGAAAAAGCAGCCACCTCCAACACCAGAAAGAGCAAGTCCATCCCAGCTGGTATGGAAAGGGCCGATGTTTAGGAGATGTTTCAGGTTGGACGAAGGGAAGGATTCATGGGCTGAGGGGAATCCCACTGTGGTGGCAGCGAATCCTGGTCTGGGGAGCCCGTTGCAGTGCTCATCCCCATGGCATCAGCCTGGGTTTGAACCAGGGGATCCAGGGCATCATCTCTGCCATGTGAACCCAAGGAGAGTTTGAGGGTTTCACACCAAATTATGTGTTTCATTTACTGTAATTTCCCTTTTGAGACAGACTGATAAATAGATGTATAACCCCAGCTCCTCAAATAATACTTACGGTACGTGATTATCATGCTCTCATTGCCCATCTCTGCTGAATAGACAGGCACAGCACAAAAACATGCCCTTCCGAGTTAATACATTTCACAGATCCTTCAACAATAATATATTGGTTCAATGACTATTCACCCTGCTTCTGAAAAGCCTGGCTCATCTCTGTTGAAACCACAACCCCCCCAGAAGTGCCAAAGCAACAGCCTATTACGTTTAGTTAAATATTAAGATTCTCATTTAATTATGGCACACACAAGTAGCTTTATCAGCAGAAAGGGGCTTGCCACGTAGGGGAATTTAGTCAAGCCGTTTTATTTGTTCATATAATTGCATTCACAGAAAGCCAGGAAGGCTATGGAGGAAATAAAAAAGATTGGCATATCTCCTAAAGGACTTTCTTTTCTGCTTTAGGACCACAGGGAGCTTGAGTCTGTGGAGTACAAATGGTCATTGCTTAATTAAATGTAAGCACGCTATAATATTCAGTGCAACTCACTATTATCAGATTATTGCAGAATACAGAGGCAAACTCCCTTTATAGAGTAATGGGCTCATATTAAATAAGTAAATTCAGTAACACGCAACTGTCAGTTGCCCCTTATTCAAAAGCAAAAGAATGATGGGGAAAAAAAAGGAACCAGGGGAAATGTTAATCATATGCAGAAAATCCTGATTTTCAGTAGGGGATGTGTTCTCTTCATGACTAGATCGAGTTCTCTATGTAATAAATGCTACACATACCTATCTGCCAAAATAAAACTAGTCTCGCTCCGTCTTATGTTCTTTGTTCAAGCCCTTCATTTGCTATTTGTGTTTTACAGAGTGTCTCATTTTATTCACCTAAAAGTATTGTATACAACTACACAGGAGGCTATGACCCAGTTCATGAGAGCACTACCCTATACATGCTGCTATAGCCAGGCAGCCGTCCCCAGGTCTATGGTAAAATTAAGGTATTGTGTTTACAGGGGGAAAAATGGAAGCCAGTTTGGAGCTGTAGGTCAGAGCTAAGAAATTCTCCTGGCCCTGTGGCAACACATTCTGTGGGCTAAAGAGCCCTCTGGGCATCACCAGGGCTGCTCAGCAAGGGCACTGCCAAGGCCAAGTCTCTCTGGGAAGAGGAAGAGCTGATCCCCCCTGTGCACAGGCTGTGGTTGGAGTGGTCACTGGTGCAGAAAGACTGGGAAGCTAGGAGCTTGCAGTTTGCTTTCAGCATTACTTAAACAAGCAATTCTTGTATTGTTATAGGCTGGAATAACTACAAAGGCCAACTTTTTTCTTATTTATAGCAGAAGTAGTTTCACAAGGGACAGGACTGGCACATGGAGCTATACCCCCATCCCACTACTGCCAGCAGCAATAGCATGAACATAAACAAAAAGGGGGCAGCAAAATCAGTCAGCTCTCATGGCACTTTTACCCAGAAATTGTAGACCAGTGAGGAAACTGAGCCACAGGGAAATGAAATATTTGTCTCACAGTCATCTTGTAAGCAAGATGATGGCAGACGGTCTAAGCCATGTTCCCGGGTACGTTGTGCTGCTTTGCTTTAGCAGTGAAGATCTTTCTTGCTGCCCTTACAGGACAGTCACATCCCAGTACATTGCTTTAACCTAACTTATTCCAGGATGCTGCTAAATTTTATGCATGTATTTCTCTGCGAAGGAACTTTTTAATTGGAACAAATTAATTGAAAAGGATGGGAGGGTAAATTAGATTTAAATGTACAATGCATCTCCTTAACATTATTGGATACTGTTGACACCAGATGGAACACTGCTGAGTATTTCTATTTTAATGGTAAAGGATACAACATGCCACAAATCTGATTTTAAATTTGATTTTAAAGAAATCAATCAGAATTTGGGATTGCACTGCACACATCCTGCTTACAAGTAAAACTTTCCTAAGGGAGGTAAGGGCTTTAAATGCATGTTGCCAACAGAAATTGAGAGAACAGGGAATGAAAAGTCACATGCAGAAACTGTATAAATAAAGACGGATCCTGTGCTCTTTTCTCACATGTCCTGGTGCCACAGGAATTATAGAATCATAGAATCATAGAATCATAGAATCACTTTGGTTGGAAATGACCTTTAAGATCGTCGAGTCCAACCTTTAACCTAACCCTGCCATCCCACCACTAAACCATGTCCCTAAGCACCTCATCTATCCTTCTTTTAAATACCTCCAGGGATGGGGACTCGACCACCTCCCTGGGCAGCCCATTCCAGAGCCTGAGAGTTTTTCCTTTGACACTTACCACCTTCAGTGGGATATTAAGCAGCTCAGCATTTCACAGAAATCCTTTAGTTTGGGAGCCAGGTTCCCTGGTTTGCTCTGCTCCTTTGCAGATACAACAGCAACAAGTTGATGTAAATCCAGTTAAGCTAAACAGATACCTGACAAATTGGCCACATGCAGAGAATAAAGCTGTGGCATATTATCTGGATCACAGCAATGCCTGAAGTCCCTAACTGCAGGTTAAGGCTGGGCCAAACTCTATGTAAAAATGAAAGATAAGGGTCTCCCACCAAAATAATGGGAGCAGATAAATTTTGGTTTCACGTGAGACTCCATCCCACACTTTGCAATGAAGTCTCCTGAGACTAATGAGAGAAAGGGGCACCTTGGTTTAAGACACCTCCAGAGAAGGGACAGAGAAAGGCTGTCTATCTGAGGCTCCCTGACTTGGGGAACAAATTTGTCTTTCTGGATAATTTGTATTGCTACAGGCATGAAGGAGGAACCCCGGAAACCTCATGGCTCTGTGGGCCCTACAGGGAGTCCTAACCAGTCTGGCAATGGCTACAGCCAGCACCAAAGATTTTCAGCAAAGAAACCTGTATTTGGAATAATTCCAGCTTCACACTGGTGTAGATGTGAACCACTAACATTAAAAAAGCTGTACTGAACAAGTAAGTGCTACAATCCCCACAAACAGATCGGGAAACCAGGCAGAGGTACAACTCATGGGGCTCACTCCTCTGCGTTATCTCTTTCAACCTGGTAATCCATATCAGAGTGTGGGGTTTTTTTAATCATAGATTAAGTGAAATATTTCTTATTTTTGAGTAGGACATAAATCAGTATTTGTGAAAGACTAACAAAGAGAGAGAGAGAGATCTGGTCTGTGCATTTTTTGGAAAAAGTTGGTAACAAATGTCATGCCCAAACCACTGTCTTTGTACCCCAAGACTAGGCAGAGCCTGGGCTCCCCACACGTGTCAATTTACTAAAAAGCAGCAGCATCTCAGTGTCCTGTCCGGCTACTTTGCTCTGAAGAATTGCAAGGCTCAAGCCCATTCTTACTCTGTGCATCGGTTGTGTTGTGAACAGTCACCATCGGGACTCGGGGACCTTGAAAAGAAGAAGAAAAGATCTTGGTTAAATACCTATTGAAGCACACACAGGCATAATGTGAACCTGGTTTTGAATTCCACAGAGCTGGAGACTCCTGAGACTTGCTTTCCATGCAAGAGTAATCTAAAAAGCAAATCACCCTGGTATTAGAAAGAGTCTATGAATAAATGACAGTACTGTAGACTCAAAGACATGCGAGGTTTCAAAGCCCTTTCCCAACAGACCACTAAATGCATCTTTCCCTAATTTGTAAACATTATAATTAGCACAAACACAATTAAATCACTTGCTTTTAAAATTATTCTAATGACACCCAAACATCACAGCACAAAGCATTTACATTTTATATGCTATGGGTAACTGTTGCTGTTTTGCAAGTGTTTTGTGGTTGGTTTTTTTTTTTTTAAATGTATTAAACACCAGTTTGGCTCTTACACTAAAAAAGACCCCATATGCCATCTTAAAATGCAGCATTTGGGTATTGAAATTGGTCAGTAGAATAGGAAGAGGACTACCATTACTGTGGAATGCACACTAGTGAACCACAGAATTCATTGCAATAGGATGCTACAGTCTTTAGGATGCTGTAGTCTTTACCACAGGATGCTATAGTCTTCAGCATAGGGTGCTGTAGGATGCTATGGTCTTTAGCACAGTGGTCTGGATCCAACTTCCTGTTCAGAAAGTCACCAAGCGGCTGACTGATAGAAAAATGGGATGGTACATGAGATTAGGTTCATTTTGTAGTTGCCAGCTTCTTTCTCTCTGTTCTTCAATTATCATCTGCTGACTGATCTTGGAGACAGGATGCTGGGCCAAAAGCTGGCTGACCCAGCACAGCCACTCGTGGGTTTACTACCATCCCTTTTCCAATGAGTTTGACAATATTGCTCAGGAGGGTGGAAGAAGCACTGCAGTGATGAAAAGGTTAATCCTTGACCTCAGAGATAGTGGTTATCTTATTTTTTATCTATTTCCCTGTAACAAAATGTGCAAGCAGCTGAGGAAAGATCATCCGTACTCCTGGCAAAGATCCAGAACAGCAGGGCCAGAGGGTCCCATGCTCTGTGTGGGTGAAGGTCATAGATCATAGAATCATAGACTCACAGAATCATTTAGGTTGGAAAAGACCCATCACTAAACCATGTCCTTAAGCACCACATCTAAACACCTTTTAAAAAGCTCCAGGGATGGGGGGGACTCAACCACTTCCCTGGGCAGCCTCTTCCAATACTTGACAACTCTTTCGGTGAAGAAATTTTTCCTAATCTAAACCTCCCCTGGTGCAACTTGAGGCCATTTCTTCTTGTCCTATCGCTCATTACTTGGGAGAAGAGACCAATCCTCACCTAGGTCCCCCCTCCTGTCAGGCAGTTGTAGAGGGCAATAAGGTCTGCCCTCAGCCTCCTCTTCTCCAGGCTGAACACCTGCAGTTCCCTCAGCTGCTCCCCATCAGCCTTGTGCTCTAAACCCTTCACCAGCTTTGTTGCCCTTCTCTGGACATGCTGCAGTGCCTCAATGTCTTTCTTGTTGTGAGGGGCCCAAAACTGAACACAATATTCGAGGTGTGGCCTCACCAGTCTTCATGGCAGGACTTCTTTTTTTGTATATACTGTATTTCCAGTTCAAACTTACTATGTGATGAGGGTGTGTAGTCAGTGGGGATGGCAAAATTTGGAACTGTCTGTACAAATGAACATGGAGAAAAGGTGGTTAGAAACCATGTTTCCTACTCTCTTGGGCTCCGACAGGCTAGTGGCACACTGTGAACTACATTGAATATCAAAAAACCCAACTTAAAGAGGCTTGATATTCACTGAGGTTCAAGCCTCTTTAAGGTGTCTTGAGTCCTTCAACCTACAAGCAAACCCTGCATGATCACCAGTCACGTGCACCAGCAATTTGTGTAGAGGTGGCTGAGAAAAAGCCACTGAGATGCTTTCACTGACAGCATGCACATAAATTGCAACAAGAACGGGTTGCTGTCAGCCATCCATACTGGTTTGGCGAGTGAAATAAATTCCTGAGAGCAAGAAATAGTTTAGGGTGGTATAATGGTGTCAGTGGTTTTCCCTGTGCTGCCCAGAAACCAGATCCCATTGCATACAATCAAGGGTGAGGCAGAAAAGGGTTTTATTTGTAATTAAGCCAACTGATACGGCAGCCTGACTTTTGTTTCCTACTAATTGAGAATTTTCTTCACCAGCAACCTGATTACTTTGTTTGCACCATTTTTCTTTGAATGCAGCTAAGGAAGTATAATGCACAGAGGAAAACCGTGCTTTACTCACCAGGATTTAGCTGAATTTACCTTTCTACTGCCAATATGCATTGATATGCTGACCATATTTATTTATAAATCTGCTCTGCTTTTTCCCTGCAGTCCCAGAAGCCAGTCTGCTGGAAAAGCAACAAACCTAATAAACAATTCATCATGGGCATGATAAAATCATCACGGAAAATAAAAGGAATCCTCCCAAATGATTTCAATCAGAGCTAGAGCAGTCTTTTAATTAACACAAAAATGCCTAACAAAAAGAAAGAGATAAAGAGAGAAATACAATGCACATAATCCTTTTATTTTCTAATGTATTTTGCCTTTTTGTGTTGGCACTGGAAAAACTGTGAGAAACTAATACATAAAGAAAAAAAGCCAGTATGTAGTTTAGAAAATTCCATGTATTATATTCTGTGTTTCCTTAGTCCTCACTACCCTCCTGTCATCTCCCCAAATCAATATTTTGAAGTGAGGTCCCATGCAAAAATACACAGTTTGAGGTAATATCAAATAAAAATATTTTAAAGTATGCATCAGTATCCTTGAGAAAGCAGACTTTTGAGTGTCTCAATTTTTATTTTTCAACAAATGAGGAAAAACGCTAAAGACAGAAATCTACAGAGTGGAATCATCAGGTTTGTGTGGAAGATTACTCTCGATATTAAATATTCCCAGTGGTGACATTCCAGTTAAACAACGCATTTCACTTGTGAGCGGGCTGAAAGTCATTAAGAAGAAAACCAACTTTTTTTAGGAATGATGTAAATTGCTTATTTCAATGCCAATTTTTAATGGAAACCAGCCTAGTTAGATGCTAGACTGTGTCTCTTAACACCCCCCCCCCCCCCCAAAGTCTTTCAATCCTCACAAGCCGAGTGCCTAAGGCCTGACAGGGACAGAACAAAATCCTTAAAATTAGGAAGTGTATATTCATTAGCTGCCTCCCATACTTTATTTTTAAGCCTACAACGGTGTGACAGTCCCATTCCACATGCCATCTGGTAAATGCCATCCACTGTCATTTGCGGATCTGAGAGTGAAACCTAATTTGTTCAATGAACTGCTGGGAGCTGACAGAAGCAGAGCAAGGACATCCTCTGCTCCATGCCTCCTCTCTCCAGAGCCCTTCCAAACGGGCTTTGATTGGGACTCCTGAGCCCTGGCACATTCTGCTGCTTCTGCTCTTTAATCAGCGCTGATGAGCGCCTGTGTCTACCCGGCCCCCTCGGAAACTTTGCAAACGTTCTGCCTCTTGCTTAGAGAGGTCCTGAGCGCATGTGAGCATCAGGTGCAGGCTGGATTTAAGCATTTGCTTGTGGTCCTTGCAGAAGAAAACACAAAGTGCTCCACTTCAAGAAAGTAAAGCAGATACCGAACCGTTTTGCCCCCACCATGAAAAGGTAAGAGAAGCCCAGCACATACCCCATAACCTGGGTGACTGTTCCCAAAATCACGGGCAAGGCCACTTTCCCACATGACGAGGGGACGATGATGCTGTCAGATTTCTTCCCCCGGCTGCAGAGGGGTAGTTACAAGCAGGGTGGTGCTACGCTCCAAGGTGTGGGCATATTTAGGATGCTGGGTGGCACGGTATGGGCTCCGTAACCCCGTTGCTCCTCTCTGTGCCCCGCTGGCAGGAGTGGGATGGGGTGTGCTGGAGCACCAGCAGCTGGGATCGCTTCACCCAGCTTGCCGACTCCGCTCCCCTCGGCTCCAGCATTGCACCAGCCAATTCCAGTTACTTGACAGCAGTTTTAATGCTGCTGCTTTATTTATAGCTTAAGAGAATGGACCAAAACTATTGACAAGGAGAACTTTTGTGTGCATAGCCATACTCCATACATTTCCGGATAGATGCATAGTTAATAATGCTGCATAAATCTCTAGTTACAAGAATGAGATTTTCAATTAACACAGCTAAAAGTCTGGCTCTATCTAAGGCCTTTGACTTTAAAAACGTTACTGTCATTATCCATGCTAGAAGTAAATTAAGCCATATCGCTATAATGACACGGGCAAATTTATCATCAAGGAAGCGCTACCCGCCGTGATCTGAAAGTGCACAGCAACTCAGTGCCTCAGTAATTTGAGAAGAAAAAGCATTGGCTGTGGCTTGTTATCAATTTTTTAAGCAGCTTTCGTTATTATTTCCAGGAAGGTTCTGCTTAAACACTATCAGAAGGAAGCAACTCCAGATGTTTAGATGGTAAGGTATAGATTTCCAGAATAAAACTGGAAAATCATACAACTTTGAACAAGGTATTTACCAGACATTTGTTTTGTAATATTTTTGTATAATATATATATACAATTATATATATAATATATATAATAATATTTGTAATAATTTTAAGAGAATATTCCAAAGTATTCCTGATGTTTTCATGACCTAAACATCATAGGGAATTCTATCAGCTACAACTCTAAAATGAAAGTAGTGGTTATGCAAGGAATATGAAGTAAAATTGCAAAAAAGGCAATCAAAGTTATATAAGTGCTGAAAAGGGAAAAAAAAAGAGGAATTGTCTTATTCTTCTCATCCATATTCTCAGAGGCTTCAGTGTGGCAGATAATTTCAGACCAGAAGCTAAATTCACAGTGTGTAAACAATGAAAATTCAAATGCTCGCTGCCAGCCCCACCAGCGTATCTCTTAAGCGCTGATGAATGATTTAAAAGAGCAGCTGCAAGCGATGGGAGCTGAGAGGGTCTGGCTCTGC